CTGCACAGAATACTAGTAATTAGTTTGCTACAGTATAATTATTCTGGCCTTCTCAATGTAAATGGGACTGTACCCTCCTCAGTGGCTCCTTATATTATTTTTTTCAGATTATTTTGCCAATTCATTGCTACTAAATGAAGAAATGAATTCTTGGCTACTGATACACCAGAAATGTGCTTTCTGTCTACAGCTGTGAAAATATCTGCAAAAGATTAACGACTCGCCCTTTGAATTCTTCAAAAATTCTTATCTGTTGGTGATATCTTCCATATTAGTTTTTCCATTGCATAAGATTTTCTCTTCTGTTGACAGGTACTTGCTGTTTCATTTATTTTATAGTTGCGTATCAGGTGGGTTTTGGTAAAACATCTTATAATAAGAACTCATGGGATGAAAATGATAAGGTGATGAAGAAAGCAATTCATGCAGGTCATGTCTTTGGTGATAAGAATTTGAGATCACTAAAATCAGCAAAAAATAATTTATTATCCTGTCACCTACAGAGAATCAGAAAAAAATATATATTAATACTATTCATAATTCAGTTTCACCTATTATTCTAACCATAATCATTATTCCATGTGCTGGGTTCTAATCTAGCTGGGTTTCCACAGAACACAGATGCTCGGAGTAGAGATAAGAGTTTATTCTGACAGCTTAACACGGAGTACAGCAATTGAAAGTTAGATTATAAAGTTAGAAAGCTGAGGATGATAGTACTTATAGCAACAAGGTTTTCAATTGTGAGGTAATGGACTTTGAGGTGAAGGTGTTAGAAGTGCATGTCACCCTGGGGACGTGTGACGTACAGAAGAGCACGGTCCATTTCTTATCCTGCGATCTTAAGATGGATAAATCTCTTCCATGGTGTGAAATTTTATTAGGAATCTTTTATTATGAATGCCATTTCTGCAGGGAAATAAAGACCACCACATTTTAAAATCTATAGTCTAAGAACGACTCTTGGTTACAAAGGTAGCACAAATGACATCCTTCAAAAATAACATTTTTTAAGAGTGCCAAATCGTTGTCGTTTTGGGGGCCAAAATCATTCAAGATTTGGAAACAAAATCGGAGCAGAGGGTATCAATCTTGTACAATTTCAACTATTTTAAATTAAGATTAATTTTAAATTAAAATTGGGGTTCTGCAGTGGGAATCCTGTGTGCGAGCCCTCTGAACTGCAATGCTAACCGTCGGCTAATGAGGTGATCTACAAAATATTTTGCTGCTGATGCAGTTATCTGTGTAAGCAGTTGAATGAAGAAATGCCCCTATTGATATGGCTAATAACACGGTGAGTAAATACCACAAGTGTGAGAGTAGCTGTGCTTTGGAGTAGCTGTAGCAAACATTCAGCCTGAAAACAAAACTCGGTCTATTTTCATCATTACTCCTCTGTCTTGAAATGAGTGTGTCTAACTTATTCGCATACTTATGTCAGTATAATCTTTCCTGCAATACTTTTTAAACATTAGACCCTAGATGTTTTCAACTAATGTGAAACGATGTACATCAGTTATGTTTTTGGGAGAGGACCAGAGGTGGGTTCTTACCAGTTCGCACCTATTCGGTAGAACCAGTTCGTCAAATCTACCGAACCGGTTAGAAGAGGTTCC